CAACCAATGCGAGGACCACGTGAGGGTAGAAATCACTCTGCAAGGTGACAAGCCCAACTCCAGCGCTCTTTCCCAGACTACACTGAAGTCCTTGAGGTTATCACTATGACTCCAACAGTTCTTTAACACTTTAACTGCCAGCTCTTCCCAGAAATACTGGCGTTAACAAGAATGTCACTGCACAAACGCAATTTCTGAGCGTGTCAGTCAACCAAAAACCTTCCTCGAGATGGTGATGGCGCCAAACACAGGCTTTCGCAGCCAATCATAATGCAGAGTACACGCGGACCAATCAGAACAAAGCGCTGCTCGTGCGTGAACCAATCAACTTCAAGGATGGGAAACACATGTGCAAATGAGCTATTATCAAGAATTAGTTAATGCATGTTAAAATTTCATTCTTACTGTCCATGTATATCTTCATACCAGTGATCGTCTCAAACTCTACCTTCCGGTATAACCATACTCTTCCATCAATTATAGATTCTGCAAGGGGCGGGGCTACTTGTTGCTAAGGTAAATTTGGCGGGAAAACGCGGCAACGTCTAGACCATATCACATATTTCAACTTCTTTCACTGGATAAACAGGACATCTGACTCAAAATGACAAATATCCAGTCATTCAATTGTACATCAGCCTACCTATATACACGTATGTTTCACATAACATAGTCCACATACCAAGATATTTCAAATAAAAATTGCCAGCAGCAAAAAATGAAATAAAATTAGAACCATTTTCTATAAAAAAAATATTATAATCAAAGAAAACTTTATCACTGGAAGCATACGACAAAACTTAAACACGCAATATTCTATATATATATATATATATATATATATATATATATATATATATATATATATATATATATATATATATATTGTGTGTGTGTGTGTGTGTGTGTTGTGTGTGTGTGTGTGTGTGTGTGTATATATACATTATCTCTCTCTCTCTCTCTCTCTCTCTCTCTCTCTCTCTCTCTCTCTCTCTCTCTCTCTCTCTCTCTCTCTCTCTCTCTCTCTCTCTCTCTCTCTCTCTCTCTCTCTCTCCTCTCTCTCTCTCTCTCTCTCTCTCTCTCTCTTCATCTTGTTGCACTGCTCAAGTTTATGCAAGAATCGAAGGATCATTCCCAATTGTCCGTCCGGATTAACAATTATGTACTCGCACTCAAGTTCCCACATATGCTTGCGTTAATGTGATTTCCTTCAAAGTATTATTAGTTGTGTGTGTGTGTGTGTACTTAAAATCATGTGTATTAATTTATTTATTAATTCAGAGAGAGAGATATATATATATATATATATATATATATATATATATATATATATATATATATATATATACAGCTCTTCCCTTAACCTTGATATTCTTAAATTCATAATTCACGTTATTTCCTTTTCATCGCTTAATTATAGTGAAGATCTCGAGTTTCTCGTTCTTATCGAGTTTCCAAAATGTTATCTTTAAATTCCCCCAGTGAATCTTCTTGTGTTGGTTGACACGGTCAGTGTCGTAGTCAGGTAAAATCATCTTAATTGCCTCTTCTGTTAGTTTGAAGACATTTTCAGGAATTGTAATTGTTCTCTCCTTCAGAGAAGTGTTGTGTCTAGGTTCGGCTCTCCTGTTGTGATGATTTTGTTTAGAAACAACTCTCAATACACAACATTGCGAGGTTGCTTCGTGACTATTTTGCCATTTCCCTTTGTAGTTCCAGTATAGATAATCACAAAATCACACACACACAAACACACACACACTCAAACAAACAAACACACACATACGCACACAAACACACACACACACATACATGCACACCAACACCTTATCTTCTTGGAACACTAGTTAGCCACTTCCACAGGTGCCTTCATCTACGCCTGAGAAGGTTATATTTTGTATAAGACACACACGAACCTGTTATTTTCAGGTCCTCAAAGGATGTAGGACTTCGTAGATAGCAAACGTAGATAGAACAGTTCTACCATTCTGTTGTTAACTGCTCGTATTCTGCATGAAATGACGTTGCTCGTGAGCGTTCAACCATTGTTCCATTCTTATTGTCATATGTGCAATGGTTTGGCATTTCATGGTAGAGTAGCGTCGGCGCTAGTTGATTCGTCTTGCATTTATCGAAGAAAAGATGTTAGTTGAATCGCCGCGTGTTTTATTCTCAATATTGTCGCTTGACATCCTTTCATCAAAAACACTTCGAGGTCATTTCTGAAACATTTTGAAAAGGGTATATTTTTCTCTATGTGTTTGAGTATCTACAGATTCATGTTGTGTGTGTGTCTACAGATTCTGTCTGTGTATGAGTGTGTGTGTGCGTGTGTGTGTGTGTGTGTTTGTGCATATCTACAACCGCCCACACACACACACATACATATGGATATGCATTTGTGTGTATGTGCATGTACACACACGCACACATAAACATACACATGCACACACACATTTTTAATAATTTATTTAAACATTTTGATTTTTTTAATATTTTT